ACTAACAATAATAATAACAATAAATATTCTACTACCAATAATAATAATTATAATAATAATAACACTACTCATAATAATAATAATAGTAATAATGATAATTATTATTATTGGTAGTAGGTTATATTTATTGTTATTATTATTGTTAGTAGTAGTAGTAGTATTATGAGTAGTGCTATTATTATCCCTATTGTTATCATTATTACTATTATTATTATGAGTAGTGTGTTATTATTATTATTATAAATATTATTATTGGTAGTAATATAATTATTATAATTATTATTATTGTTAGTAGTAGTAGTAGTATTATGAGTAATGCTATTATTTATTATTATAAATAGCATTATTATTGTTATTATTATTATGGTTAGCATTATTATTATTATTAGAAGTAGTAAATGAGGTAAAACTTCACTTTGCAAAGAATACCCAATGCCCAAATACACATGCAAGAATACAACATTTTGGTTTTCAATTGGATGATAGAAATCAGCAGAGCTTTCTCTCAGATCTAAAGTAACTGCACTTGCAGTGCACAGTGTATTTGTCTTTAGTGAATCAACCCCCAATATGTTGCCTCCTCACCACCTATTTTGTAAATGCTGCACCACCGCCCAGCAACCATGTACATTGCACACGGTTGCAGCACAGCCTCATTCTCTTGAATGGGGCTTGTTTGGCCAAACGCAAAAAGGGGTTATTTTTGCCATGGCCGGGAAGCAAAGCATCAAGGCATGTGTACACCCTCCCTCCTTTACCTGCCTCTGTGTCGGGGAGCAGTAAAAAACTGGGAAAATTGGGAAGACCTGAGGTTCATTGATTGATGCTTTTTTAGGGAATAAAAAAAACCCCTTTTGTATCTTTACCTCTAAATCTATTCAATCAATGTGTGGCCTTCACCATAGAGCTAGATTATAATGGGCTCCCCAATGCATTCTGGGTCCCAAGTGAATACAGCGGTCTAAGTATATCTCTAATTTGAACAAAATTGACTCATCGCGAGTTCACTGAGGTACGTGCGTTGTGCGAGGAGCCTGGAGTCGGCTGCTGACGCGGCAGAACTGCATGTATGGGTCATAGGTTACTGAAGTCTTCATGAGGTTTTATTGATACTAATGGATTGTCTTGATGGCCGTTTTGCTCAGAGGCATGTCTTACTAACGATATTCCTGCACAAGAGGGAATATTATTATTATTGTTATTATTATGCTGCTATCCATGAATTGCTGGTGGGTGGTGATCCATCACTGTGGTTTTTTAATCTGTTTATTTGCTGACCCAGCGTGAAATACAGAACTCTCTTCGTTGGTCAGATATAACCGGCTGTAACTTTACTTATATGAAGTTTAGCCAAGAGGTTAACACTGCATCTGCCACTCACAGTGTTAGGAGTCCTTTCACACTGCTCCGCTCAAAAAAATAATGTATTGGGCAGTACAGTGGCTAAATGGTTAGCACTTTCACCTGGCAGTACTAAGGTCGCTGGTTTGAATCCCAACCGTGGCACTACCTGCCTGGAGTTTGCATGTTCTCCCTGTGATTGTGTGGGTTTCCTCCAGGTACTCCAGTTTCCTCCCACACTCCAAAGACATGCTGGTAGGTTAATGGTTCCTGTCTAAATTGTCCCTAGTATGTGTATGTATGAATGTGAGTTAGGGACTTTAGATTGTACACCCATTGAGGGTTAGAGACTGATGTGAATGTACAATATATATGTAAAGTGCTGTGTAAATTGATGGCGCTATATAAGTACCTGAAATAAATATGTATAATATTATAAATATTTAGACAGGAGCCAATTAACCTACCAGCATGTCTTTGGAGTGTGGGAGGAAACCGGAGTACCCCGAGGAAACTCACACAGGCACAGGGAGAACATGCAAACTCCAGGCAGGTGGTGCTGTGGTTGGGATTCGAACCAACGACCCGAGTACTGCCAGGCGGAAGTGCTAACCATTTAGCCACAAAACACATATGCATGTTTTTAATGTTTTTGCTACATTTTCTGGGCTCCCAACTCCAATCATGCATCTATGAAACTTAGACATGTGACTCAACAAACGTACTAAAAATGCATTGCGGGTGCATTTTTGATGCATTTCTGATGATTTTTGATGTTTCCCATTCAAATCAATGGGGAGATGCATTTTTTGGTGCGGTTTATAAAAATGCACCAAAAATGCATAGGATTTAAAGGGATACATTTTTCATACATTTTTCTTCTAGTTTTTTTTACCCCAAAACCAAAGCAACGGAAAAGGGTCCTAAAGGTGCTTTATGACCTATTCCTCCCCAAAAAACATTGGTCATCCCACCTGCTAGCCAATTCTTTAAAAAGTCAACCTAATGTGGCCATTTATTCGTATACCTTAGGGCTCGTTCACACTTGACTTATTTCTAACTCTTGCCTAACGCCCGTATAGCATTTGACAGACCTTAGATTGGCGTTTGGGAAGTGTTTTTAATGCTCTTCAAACGCTCCCAAAATGCCCTATGCGCGTTTTTGAGGCGTTTGATAGGTGTTTGCGAAGCATTAAAACTGCACCAAAACGCCTATAATGAAGTTAAATGGTATTAACGCTCCACAACCGCCTTCCAAACGCCCCGCAAACGCCCCGCAAACGCTTTCCAGGTGTTTGAGGAGCAACACCATAGACTTTAATGGGAGGCTTCAACTCCTCCTGACTTAACATGAGTCGTCAATTTTGCCGCGACGTGACGCTACTGCTTCAGTGTGAACAGCACAGCGTGCTGCCATGTGCAGAATTTTCATAGGCGTTTGAGAAGCATTAAAAACGCTTCCCAAAGGCCTGTCTGATGCCTGCTGACAAAGCTAGTGTGAACGTAGCCTAAGGCTGGCCATACATTATACAATTTTCTTGAGAATTTTGCTTTAGATTTACCAAAAACCATATAATATGAGGTCAAACCTATACAACTTTTTCAGTTGTATCCAAGTAGGCGGGCCGTTGCACTACATAGTTGAAGGTAAATCTAAAGGAAATGGGGCAAAAATTGGACAGTAAATTGAATAGTGTATGGCCAGCCTAAAAGCAAAACTTTTTTTTTTAAAGTTGTGGAGAGAGTGGAGGGGGATTAGTACACCTGTTAGGTTTTTTTTGCTGCCTGTCTCCCAGTTAAGGAGATTCATCCTTTCTATTTGTCCTGTCTGCTATTATCATTGAAAGTGAAAGAAACATGAAATAGTGGGTTGTCCCCAGAAAGGTAATAGAGGGGAAATTTTCCAATGGGGACACTAGTTCTGATGACCTGGGGAGGTCTTCAAGAAATTCCCTTAATTTGCAGGGATTTCCTCTCACTTCCTGTTTTAGCAGTGGGACAGGAAGTGAAGGGAAATCTCTCCAATGGGATGCAGTGTCAAAAAACCCTCCACAAGGCTCTGTTTTTTTAGTGCTTTTTGCAGAAACGCATTACAGTCCATTTAGCATGGTTTCCTGCGGAACCTGTTCACATCTAAGTTTTTTGAGCTGCTGCTTTTTTTGGAAAGGGTCAGGGATTTTTTTTTTTTTTTTTAAAAGCAAAAAGCAGTGTTTTTGCTACAATAGAGTTCAATGGAGAATCTGCTGAAATGCGTGGTAGTGCATTTTTTTGCCGCATTTTGCATTTTTATTCTGCCCAGCAAAAAAAAAATTGCACTTTAAAAAAAAAAAAGAAAAAGAAAAAAAAGAAAAGCTGAACAAAACGCAAAACGTGGTAAAAACGCATCAAAAATGCGTGTAGAAAAATGCAAAATGAACTGCGAAAAGCACTGCAAGACGGACAAAAAGCAATAGGTGTGAACGGAGCCTTACTCTATCCAAAATGAAAAAATATTTTTTGCCTATAATTCTACTTTTACTGAATCCAAGGTCATGTGACACCATGGGGTTGATTTACTAAAACCAGAGTGTGCAAAATCTGGTGCAGCTGTGCATGGTAGCCAATCATCATCTAACTTCAGCTTGTTCAATTAAGTTTGACAAAACAAAAAAAGAGGAAGCTGATTGGTTTCTAGGCAAAGCTGCACCAGATTTTGCACTCTCCAGTTTTAGTAAATAACCCCCACGGGTTCAAAGTTTTCTCATGCTGCAGAGTGCGAGGGTCCTTCTTGGAGCGGCCAGGTCTCCCCTGGTGACAAGGATGCCTCTTATTGGCTGTCCGTTGGTGGAGTCCTCTCATGGTCCTGAAAGTGACACTTAACAAGATCCTTTTTCTCCAAAAATAATCCACAGACATCCATAACTTAATGACCCTGTAATCTATTTTTCATAAAATTCTTTTCTACTTTGTTTTTCTACCTCTTTGTAATGTCCTCTGAGAGCTCCCGAACCTCTCCATTTCACATACTCCTTTTTCTCCCCTTTTTTTAAAATAAGTGATTACATACTCTCTGTTCTCAGCTTTGTATGGAGCTTAGAGAGCTGGACGAGGAGAAACAGCAGCACACAGGTCTTCACAGTGCATGGCTGTGCGGGGGGACTGTCAGGGCAAGTCTGATCATTGGAGGAGAGCAGGCTGAGTACCCAGCACAGTTAGAGAACTAACCACACTGTGGTTTTTATACCTGGATACTAACATTTGTAGGTAACGTTGATCCAGGAAATATCTGATTGCCTCTCGGGGGATCAGGAAATAATTTTTTCCCCTGCAGGAGCAAATTGGATCCTGCTTTGCTGTTTTTTTGCCTTCCTCTAAATCAACTGTGGGTATAGGATTATAACTTTTTTTTTGGTTGAACTGAATGGACTTTTGTCTCTTTTCAGCCAGACTAACTATGTAACTATGTGCTCTCATGCCTAGTGTGGTCAGGTATTAATAGGAAGCAGAGTGACTGGCAGGAACACCAGGTATTTCACAAAAAAGGAAGCAATACAAAGAGAACTGGATACTTTTTCATACATGTACATGGTACAGCAGGAACATATCATGAATATGAAATGCTGGGTATACATATTATTTAACCTCCCTGGCGGTATTCCCGAGTGTAGCTCGGGGTAAAGTTTCAGTACCACAAGCGGTAACCCCGAGCTACACTCAGGCTTACCATGCAGCGTTGCATAGGGAGTCCCTGCAGGGCTTACCTTGTCCTTCGCTCCCGCGATGCGTCCCCTGTAGCTTCCCCGGCCATCTCCTCCGGCCGATGCCGGCATCCAGGTTCCGTATTCCGGTCCCTGTGAGCGTCGGGACGTACGGCGGGAAATTTAAAATTTTTTTGAAACTGTCATTTTCTTAGAAATTAATTTGACATAGTAAAATAATTCTGTGTCAAACCACTTCACATACATTTTGTCCCGAGTGCTTTGTCCTGCCCCCTGCCTGCATTTTGACTGTTCTTTCTGCCTGGAAACTTAGAAAAATCCATGGCGTCCAAAAAGCGTCCCTTTTGGTCAAAATCGGTTTTATACCAGCTAGAGAACAGCGATAGTAAATCAGAACCACTTGCAGGATTGAGTGATAATGATTCGTGGGGAAATTCGTCAACAGACACTGAAAACGATTTTGCGACTTTGCTCAGCGATGTGCGATCGTGGCGCTATATTTCAAATTTCAGTGTTTTGGGTTTGATTATAATATTGAATTAAATTTATTATTATTATATTATTATTTTTATGATTATTTATTAAATTATAATTTATGATTTTGTGTTTCAAATTTTATCATACCCGGGATGTTTACTAGACTCTTGTTCGGACAGATTTCAGTGAGTTATTCCTAAAAATTACAGGCCTACAATAAAAAAAATACATATTTCCATGAAAAAAAAAATGTACCGCTTTCAGCACAGAAATATGGACATAATCAGACCACTAGGGAGGTTAATGTGAATGAAAGGGGGTAGGGAGAGTGGGAAGGATGGGTGTTTATTTGTCTAGAGATGGACCTTTTACAACTTCCATCATTTTGCGGTAGGCCGGGCGGGATTTTCCTCGTTCTGGGTGGACATCATATGACGTCCTCCTGGAACACGCCTTGCCACCAGTTATATGATGATGCTGTACTGCACTGGTGCCAGTATGTAGAGAAAAGAATTGTGAATTTTTTTCAATTTCTTCATTTACCAAAAAAGTAAGATAAAAAAAGTCACCATGCCTCTTACGAAATACCTTGGACTGTCTACTTTCCAAAAGCGGTCATTTGGGGGTTCTTGTACTGTCCTGGCATTTTTGGGCCTCAAGAAATTAGATAGATACATCAGGACTGATCAATTTTCAGATATACATCATAGTTTATGGACTCTATAACATTCCTACAGACTAAATAATAAACACTGATTTGGGTTATCTTCACTAAAGAAATGTAGCAGAATAGATTTTGGTCTATATTTATGAAGAACAATTATTTATTTGCCAAATTTTGTTACAGAAACAAAGAAAAACGTGTTTTTTTTTTTAAAATGTTTGGCCTTTTTTTGTTTATTTAGCAAAATTTAAAAACCCTAGTGGTGATTAAATACCTCCTAAAGAAAGCTCTATTTGTCTGAAAAAAAATTATAAAAATTTCATGGGTACAGTGTTGCATGACTGCACAATCGTCATTCAAAGTGCACCAGCGCTGAAAGCTGAAAATTGGAGTGGGAAGGAAGGGGGTGAAAGTGCCCGGTATTGAAGTAGTTAAGGAGACATAATTTCTTGAAAGGTCGCCCCCCTGATCATTTTATATATACTTATTGTATCTGCTCTCACTCACAACTCCTTGCTCATCTGCAGCCAATGTTGAGATCAGCTGTATCGGTGATCCAGGGGAGTGACTAGTATTGGCTTCTATGTCCAGGCACAGCCACAGGGGAGCAGGTCACATGTTCCTCCAAGCTCAGAACTACTTGGTAGTCTTTGCTGGCTGATAAGGAGCAAGTGGTGGTGAAGGAGTGCTGGTATTGTTAGTATATAGGGGTAGGAGGATACCCTTTCAAGGGACATTGTCACCTTGCATTGTTGCCATCTACAAGGCAAGGTGACAGTGTCTGTACAAAGACCATCCTAAAACTAATAAAAGTATACATACACTATGTTGCCAAATCATTGGATTCAGACGTTCCAATCACCTCCATGGCCACAGGTGTATAAAATCAAGCCCCTAGGCATGCAGTCTGCTTCTATAAACATTGGTGAAAGAATGGGTCGCTCTCAGGAGCTCAGTGACTCCAAGTGTGGTACCGTGATAGGTTGCCACCTGTGCAATCGTCCATTCGTGACATTTCCTGGCTACTAAATATTCCATGGTGAACTGTTAGTGGGATTATAACAAAGTGGAAGCAACTGGGAACAACAGCAACTCAGCCATGAAGTGGTAGGCTACGTACAATTACAGAGTGGGGTCAGCGTATGCTGAAGCGCACAGTGCGCAGACGTCACCAACTGTCTGCAGAGTCAATAGCTAAAGACCTCTAAACTTCATGTAGCCTTCAGATTAGCACAACAACAGTGCACAGAGAGCTTCATGGAATGGGTTTCCATGGCCGAGTAGCTGCATCCAAGCCTTACATCACCAAGTGCAATGCAAAGTGTCGGATGCAGTGGTGTAAAGCACGCCACCACTGAACTCTAGAGCAGTGGAGACATGTTCCCTGGAGTGATGAATCACATTTCTCTGTCTGGCAATCTGATGGATGTGTCTGGGTTTGGCGGTTGCTAGAATGGTACTTGCTTGACTGCATTGTACCAAGTGTAAAGTTTGGTGGAAGGGGGATTATGGTGTGGGTTTTTTTTTTTCAGGGGTTGGGATTGGCCCCTTAGTTCCAGTGAAGATAACTCTTAAGGCGTCAGCATACCAAGACATTTTGGACAATTTCACGCTCCCAACTTTGTGGGAAGAGTTTGGGGATGGCCCCTTCCTGTTCCAACATGACTGCGCACCAGTGCACAAAGCAAGGTCCATAAAGACATGGATGAACGAGTTTGGGGTGGAGGTACTTGACTGGCCTGACAGAGTCCTGACCTCAACCCCATAGAACACCTTTGAGATGAATTAGAGCAGAGACTGTGAGCCAGGCCTTCTCGTCCGACATCAGTGCCTGACCTCACAAATGCACTTCTGGAAGAATGGTCAAACCTTCCCATAGACACCCTCCTAAACCTTGTGGACAGCCTTCCCAGAAGAGATGAAGCTGTTATAGCTGCAAAGGGTGGGGCCAACTCAATATTGAACCCTACGCACTAATACTGGGGGGCCATTAAATTTTATGTGCGTGTAAAGACAGGCGTCCCAATATTTTTGGTAATATAGTGTACCTTTAATCCAGCAAATTATTACCTTATCATATGAGTCCATCCTCTTCTTATCTGGGGTCTACGATAATCATTTTTCACACCTGCCCTGAAGAACATTCAAAAAACGATGTACTGTATAAGCACTGTTCAGTGCAGTGAACTCGTGAGCAAAGGCTGACATAATAATACATTCTAAGGGGGTGTGCCCATGACAGCCTGGGCTCACAGGAAATTTGTTGAATGGCACTACATCCATAAGAGCTGTGTCATCTACTGGAAAAACAAATATTCTGCTGGTGATAGTACTGTACTAAAGGTAAAAACAGCAGTGAAAGATGCTTTAAAAGCTTATATTACTGCTGGGAAATTTAGTTTTTATGTTTTTTTTAAACCAGCTGGAGTTTCTGCTTTTATGGTGACTATGAAAAAACAATGCATACATACTGTATGAGCATTCTACAAATTCAAAAGGATATCCTGGAAAGCATAATTCTTTTTTAATAATCCATTTTGACTTTTAGGACCAAAAGTAGCTAGTAAAAAAATAAAATTCCTTAATATCCCTTGATACTGTTTCTAAAAGTCATGTTCTGGGTGGAGAAATCGATTGACGTTTAATTTATTGCACCTGTCAGCTGTTTATTTAACACTACTTTGTGTCAATGATTTTCTGTTATCTTTTGTAACATCGGAGCAGTCGAGAAAAGTGGACATTGCAGTGGAAGGGAACATAAATTTGCTGAATAATGTGCAGTTAGGTCCATATATATTTGGACACAGGCAAAATTTCATACTTTTGGCTCTGTATGCCACCAGAGTAAATTAAAATGAATTTGATGTGCAGACTTTCAGCTTTAATTCAAGGGGTTGAACATACATATCAAGTACAAATTTTAGGAACTGCAACCATTTGTATACACAGTCCCTCCATTTTCAATAATTGGACAAATGAATATAATCATAAATAAAATGCTCATTTTTAATATTTTTTTGAGAATACTTTACTGGCAATGACTGCCTGAAGTCTGGAACCCATGGACCCAAAGACTGGGTTTCCTCCTTTCTGATACTTTGCCAGGCTCTAACTGCAGCTGTCTTCAGTTGTTCTTTGTTTGTGGGTCTTTCTGCCTTTAGTTTTGCCTTCAGCAAGTGAAATGCATGCTCAGTTGGGTTGAGATCAGGTGATTGACTCGGCCATTGCAGAATATTCCACTTCGTTCCTTCCAAAGCTCCTGGGTTGCTTTTGCAGTGTGTTTTGGATAATTGTCCATCTGTAATGTGAAGCACCGTCTAATCAACTTTGCAGCATTTGGCTGAATCTGGGTTGACAGTATATCTCTAAACACTGCAGAATTCATCTGACTGCTTCTATCACATCAATAAACACCAGTAACCCAGTGCCACTGGAAGCCATACATGCCCATGCCATCACACTGCCTACACCATGTTTTACAGATGACGTTGTATGCTTTGGATCATGAGCTGTTCCAAGCCTTCTCCACACTTTTTTTCTTCCCGTCATTCTGGTACAGATTAATCTTAGTTTCATCCATCCAAAGAATGCTTTTCCAGAACCTGTCTGGCTTTTTTAGATGTTTTTTTTGGCAAAGTCTAATCTGGCTTTTTTATTCTTCAGGCTTATGAATGGTTTGCACCTTGTGGTGAACCCTCTGTATTTGCTCTTGTTTAGTCTTCTCTTGATTGTAGACTTTGACAATGATACACCCACCTCCTGGAGAGTGTCATTCACTTGTCTGGATGTTGTGAATGGGTTTTTCTTTACCATAGAGAGGATCCTGCGATCATCCACTACTGTTGTCTTCTGTAGATCTCCATGCCTTTTTATGTTGCTGAGCTCACCAGTGCGTTCTTCTTTCCTCAGAATGTACCAAACTATTGATTTGGCCACTCCTAATGTTGCTGCTATCTCTCTGATGGATTTGTTTCATTTTTGAAGCCTTACAATGGCCTGTTTCACTTGCATGGACAGCTCCTTGGAACGCATGATGTAGGTTCACAGCAATAGATTCCAAATGCAAATACCACACTTAGAATCAACTCCAGACCTTTTACCTGCCTAACCACTAGCCTACAGGGCACTTATACCCCTTCCTGCCCAGGCCAATTTCCAGGTTTCAGCGCTGTCGCACTTTGAATGACAATTGCGCGGTCATTCAACACTGTACCCATATGAAATTTTTATAATTTTTTTGTGATAGATAGAACTTTATTTTGGTGGTATTTAATCCCCTCTGGGTTTTTTTTATTTTTTCTTAAACAAATCAAAAACCACGGAAAATTGTGAAAAAAAAAGTTTTTTTTTTAGTTTTTGTTATAACATTTTGTAAACAAGTGATTTTTCTCCTTCACTGATGTGCACTAATGAGGCTGCAGTGATGGGCACTGATAGGCTGCACTGATGGACACTGATAGGTGACACTGATGGGCACTGATGAGGAGGCACTGATACATGGCACTGATATATGGCACTGATAGGTGGCACTGTTAGGCGGCACTGACTGGCACTGTAAGGCGGCACTGACTGGCACTGATAGATGGCACTGAAAGGCACTGATGCGCACTGATAGGCGGCATTGACTGGCACTGATAGGCGGCACTGACTGGCACTGATAGGTGTAACTGATTGGCAGCATTGATAGGTGGCACTGATTGGCATTGATAGGTGGCACTGACTGGCACTGATGGGGGGGCACTGAAAGGCAGCTCAGATGGGCACTGATATGTGGCATTGATGTGCACTGGTAGGCACTGATATGTGGCATTGATGTGGCACTGATGGGCACTGGAACGAGGCACTGATGAGCACTGACAAAAGGCACTGATGGACACTGACAGGTGGCACTGCTGGGGCTACACTGATCATCAGGTCACACTGATCATCAGTGCCCTAATGATCAGGGCATACTGATCATCAGTGCCCTGATGATCAGTGTACATGTCCCCTCCGCGGAAAGCCAATTACCGGCTCTCCTCTCGAGCTGTCAGCGTGACAGCTTGAGAGGAGAGAAATGCCGATATCCGGCATTTCCCTGTTTACATGTGATCAGCTGTGATTGGACACAGCTGATCACAGAACAAGAGAACCAACTTGTGTCCATCATATTACTCTATGGCGAGTGAGAGGTGGTTAAATGATGAAGAAATAACGAAGGAATAGCCCCCACACCGGGCCATGAAACAGCTTTTGATTCAATTATCCAATTACTTTTGGTTCCTTGAAAAAGGGGGGTGGCATGTATGATATATCAGAGCCAGCTAAACACTGGGTGGTTTGTTTTTTTCTTTAATTTCTTACTATAGTGTGAATAGCCTAGACCTGCAGGATATCATCATTTACACTCAACTAAATAAGTCACAGAAGAAACACATCCTTCCTTTTTTTTCTATTATATCTTTTATTAACTTTATGCAATACAAAAAATAAGAACATCTAATACACACAAAAAAGAAACAAGAAATAAACAGAACTTCACCAGTACATAGCTTCCGTTTGCATCGTCTTATCCCTTGCCCCACCTTTCCCCCCCTCCATTTGCCCCAGTCCACATCCAACTTCCTAGTTTCTATCCCTTCTTGTGGTCATCTATCTATATCTGCATCCCTTCCCTCCTATCTCCTTATCTCGATACACATCCTTCTATTACTATCAGAGAAAGTGTCTTTTTGGATTTTCTGTGTGTAGAAGCAGTCCACAGGTGTAGTGCTAGTGTTGGACTTTCTCTAGTGCTAGTGCTTGTGGACTTGGCGGTGTTCGTTCAAAAATCCCACCAGGCGGTGGAGGGATGGAAAGGTACCTTTGTCAAAGGAGGTGAAGCTTCAGAAACGTGTTGCAGCCCTCCCACCCACCATTCACGGCATCGATCATGGTACCTGTTCATCCATCCACCGCCTGGCAGGATTTTTGAACGAATGCTGCCAAGTCCACGAGGTGCTACCTTCATGGTCATGCTGCTGATATCGATCCATCCATCAGAGTGAACTGCGATCCTGCTCCTCTTTCTGCCTTCTCATTCTGCATGTCAAGTGAAGGAAATTTATATGTAAGTCTTCTGTAATAAGGTTTATATGTTTTTTACTCACTCTGACCTGGCGCCCTCCTTTCTCTTCAGCTTGGAACCAGATTGTCTAGCGGCAAACATAGCCTTGAGCAGTGCATTGGTGCTTAGCACCCAACACTAATAATTAACCTACCTTGTCATTGGTGGACAGTGGCAGTGATAATAAACTAGACCATCACTCCTTTCATTGGTGTGCTTTTCCTTACCTGATCACACACTTGGAGCCTGGTTGTCTAGCAGTAAATGGAGCCTGGAGCAGTGCATTGGCACTAGGGTCCGGACATCCATCCTTTTTTATGTATCCATAAGGCTAAAGATCCGGGCCCAAGATATTGATCGCTGGCAGTAATGTATAACTTCCCTACCCTAACTATTTAAGTATATTGACAAGAAGGGGTGAGACATAACATATGCGTCTGCGATTGAGACTGAATGTCCTGCTGCTCTCTTTGAGAAGGTAAATTGAATTAAAAGTGATGTACGTCTATGATCCGGCCACAGTGATATATACCTAGCAGCTCAGTGAATTGCGAGAGCTGTGAGAAAGTAAATTGTGACTGTATACTAGGAGCCATGTTGGGATGGAGGAAATGACATTTCTGGGGATGTTATGTGCACCAAATGTGTACAGAATGCCTTCAGGCTGCCATATTGCATTACATTTTTTGACAAATTTAGAAAATTACAGTGGCTTCAGATTGGAATGGAAATGTTTTTCTTACAATTCTTTTTTTTTATTGGAATTTTTTAAAAGCTTAGTACAAACTGTGTGTAGCTCAATCCACACAGGGGGGGCTACTTGTAAAAACAATTACAATTTACCATTAGTAACAACTATTGCATTTGGCTAATGTATTGAAATAAAGGAGGTCAAACAGGAGGAAAAGGAAACCTTATATTCTCTTCAGTTTCCACTTTAAATGGGGAACTTCACAAGTGCATTACCACCCAATGATCTAAAAAAAAGGGGTTAAGGAACAGAATCTGCTGCAGTTGAGGGGTCTTCATGTCACATTGACTGTCTGGGTGCTATTAGGAACAAATATGAGCATGTGTGGAAAAAGACAGCAAAATAAAAATGTGCATGTGCTGAGGAAAAGACCTGGCATAGTTGCCAATACTTTACATGGCTATGCTCGTCAGCACGAACATTCGCACTAGTGCACGTTCACGCACACCTGCTGGCTGAACTGACTGCACTCAGACTTTACTGGATGATCTTCAATTACCAGTACTCCTTGCTCCTGTGTTCCTTGGATTACCTGTTACCGACTCAGCTTTCCTCTAGACTGCCCTGCTGCCTGATCCTTGATTTTGACTGTGGCTTGTTCTAAGGACTCTGCTTCTCTTGTTTTACTGTGCATGACTCTGGCTTGCTCTTGACTACTCTTCTGCTTGCTCCCTGTGAATGACCTGGGCTCTGTTCTTGACCTTGCTCCTGCCAACTCTCTGGCTTGCCTTCTTGTGTATGACTTTGGCTGCCATCCTGATTAAGCTTCTTCAGTCCGTTCCTGCTTCTTCCTCGGGGGTCACCTTGCTTGTGGTTGCTGCCCTGGTCCCACTACCTTGCCAGGAGCAAATGAGGTCTTACCATCTGTCCTGACTTGACTGTACTGCAGGCAGCTTCCAGCAGATCTACCTAAACATCACCTGTGCTTCTTTGAGCCTAGTACTCCCTGTTCTCACCTTCAGGAGTGCTTGGCACTTAGCCGCAAGGGAAACCCTCTCAATAAATTGGCCTCACACCAGGTACATGACATTGACATTCATAAAATTCTTTGCACAACATCTGTTCTCGTAGGAGTCCTGGTATAATGGCAGATTGGAATTTGTCAATTTTTTTCCAGAATAAGATGGAAGCTGGGTCTGATTTTTTCTAACACATAGCTGCAACAGACCTAGGAGTGTCTTTTGAGCAATGATGGGAGAAATGTCCTCTACTAGACCCAATAGGCAGGTTTTTGGTTTAACGCTATGACCATCTTTATATATTCCACTACATCTTGCCAGGATAGGAATATCTGATGTGTGTGTGATAGAGCTGGACCGATAGAGGCAAAAATTGGTTTCAGTGGATCTACGTAAAGTGTTTTTTCCTTCAAAGAAGCAGATACATGATTGAAATATAAGATAGGTGGACAATATTCTGGTCCTAGGCTTCCCCCTCTCTGATAGCGATAAGGGAAGCCAGACATAAATTCTTGGATGTGTGCGAAGGAGCGCCTATCTTTAGTGCCATCAGGAGAAGCTAGTCTTCATCTTCTTGTACTGCTATATTCAGATGTGTCTAAATCTATTACTGTAGAGAATCTTCAATCTTTTCAAAGGTGCTGCTCTACAGTGTTTTGGAATCACTCCACCACCCCACCGAGAACCCCCCAAGCCACCTCGTTACAGTTTGTTGGTCACATACACTTCTGTGCCATATCTCTCCACATACACTGATGTCTGCTGAAAGCCCAACTCAGTATGTATCCTGTAAACATACACTTTGGTATAGTCCACAAAACAATCATCATTTATTCATGAAGAACAATCATTAAAATCCACATAAAATAATATAATATCCAATGCGTTTCAGCCATTACTCATGGCATGCCTAAGACCTAACCGTTGAAATGCGTTGGATATTATATGTGGATTTTTATGGTTGTTCTTCGTCAACAAAGGATAACTGTTTTGTGGACTATGCCAAAGTGCCAGCTTTTCTACAGTATGCATAACTTGTGTACCAGGCAGTCTTCCTTATGCATTAAAGAGTGTGGATATGGAAAGGTAATTTTTAGTAACATTAAATGACAAAATGGCTTTGTGGCAGTTTTATATACTTTTTTTTTTCGTCTCCCCTTTCCCTTCATCATACTCTTATTTTATGTGTTTTCTTTCATACCAGTATACCCGGCAAACATTGCAAATATGACAAATATTCTGTGCTAAATATTTATTTAAAAAATAGAGATTTTAGACAAACCAGAGCAAAGGATTTGAAACCTTATTGTTTAAACTTGTTGAAAAGAATTGACTGAAAACCATTAAAGCTTGCCTTGAATTTTTTCTTTATTGATGGAGGTGCCCCAACCCCATTACAGAAGCCAAAAATGGCATGGCATATTGTGTGCCTTTACAAAAGAGTAGAGCACAGTGATCGGCACATAATAGAAAGTTCAAGCTCGGTACCTGGCTACAAGAAAATCAAACAGAAATATTGTCAGGAATCTGCACTTCACCTGGGACAACTGCCCTTGGCATCCCAGATAATAGGTGTGTACGGCACGTGCCACTTGTATAATGGATCAGAACCAGTTAAAACACTTTAATGCCAAACCTTGTAAAAATTTCCAGTTACAGTATTAAATTGAAAATCAAAAGTAAATGGCGAGCGTCATAGATTTGGAACTGCTTGCACTAAAAAGGGGAGTGAAAAAACCCAAAATGTAAATACAACAGAACAGTGCAGCACATAAAACATATATCAAGAATTTGTATAAGAATAAATATATGTTTACCAAAATAAATAAATAAAATATTATAAATCAATATTATTATACAGATAGGGTTCATTAAAGTGCCAAATGCAGTGATGTAACAAAAGTCCTTCAGATAACAGTCCTGTAGAAATCCTCCAGTGAAATAACTCCAAAAAAAGTGCTGAATCCAAAACAGTGCTCCTCTCTTGTGAAGGTCGGCCACTGCTATGCACTCACCAGAAACCCAACTGATCAATAGCCCGTAGTTCAACAAATAGGGAACCTCCATTTCTCATTCCTCAATACCGCTGATGGTACGACCTGGAGCCAAGAGGACAAGGAGTAAAATTTCCTATTTTGCAACATACGCCAATTCCTGGTACTCATTGATCAGCTCCTTGGACAGCTGGCTGGATGTGCCCCCCCATACCGCACACACCAACTTCTCCCGACTTCACCAACTTTCTGCATGGTTGTGGAAAGTTGGTGGAGTCGGGTGAAGTAGGTGTGTGCAGTATGGG